CAGGGTGGCCCCAGGTGCCAGCTTGGTTATCCTGGGCATCTCCTGCAGCCTCAGTGGGGCTGTGAGGAGGAGGAGGCTGCTCTGGGGGATAACTGAGCACGTGCCAGGGCACAGGAGGCTGAGCCTGGGCTGGGGCAGCCCCTGCCTGCTGCAGAGCCTCTGACAGGAACCCCAGCGCTGCCTCAGCCCCAGCCAGGAGAGAACTTCAATGACATCCCCATTTTCCCAGGCAAGAAGTAAAATAAAGTACAGATTAAAGAGCAGAACATGAAAGACATGTGAACCTGTGACTTGTAATTACTGGTTATGTATAAATGTTGCCTCTCAAATACGTTTAGCGTTGTGAGCATAGGAGGTAATTATAGGGCTTAAAAGCTGTTTCTGAAGAGGCTCTCAGCTATCTCATCTCGGAGCAGGAGATGACTAAAGATGCTAATTGGGTCTCTGGATAGAGTGTAATACTTATTTAGAGGCAGTGTTCATTTTGCTGAGCTATCTCCCTTTCAGGAAATGTCTTTGTTTCCCTTCAGAGTCCCAGTGATTTACTGAGCATTTCATTTTGAACTTGGTGTCAGATCTGCAGGGTTTCTTGCTGGTGTAAAATGGGACCCATCTGGTGGCTGCCTCCCTCCATGTGTGTTCTGGAGGGTTTGAGGCAGGCAGGAGCAGCTGGATCAGCATCCAGTGACAGTGCAGCTGCTGTGGCTGAGGGAGTTGTCCAGCAGCTCTGCAGCTCCAAACCAGGGGCTGTGCAGTGCAGAGTGCTTCCCTTCCATCTCTGCTGCTGCTGTGCACAGAGGGGCTCCCCTGGCAGGGGGCTGAGGTGGGGTTAGCCCAGAGTTATCATCAGGAAAGGCACTGCCCCTGTGAGGCAGGAGTGCTGCATGGAGGGGATGGCTTGGGCTCGATGCCTCAGCAACCTCCGAGTTCTGAAACGTGGAACAAATCCTGCAGCAGCTGCGTGAGCACCTTCCCCCTGCCAGCTGCCACCAGGGCAGAGAATTCCAGGGGCTGGGAGTGCTCCTGAGCCAGGAGCAGCTGCCGTGTGTGTGTGTGTGTGCCCTGTGTGTGTGTGCCCTGTGTGTGTGTGTGCCCTGTGTGTGCCCTGTGTGTGTGTGTGCCCTGTCTGCAGACTGAGCTGCAGCCCAGTGCCATGTGTGTGCCATGTGTGTGCCCTGTTTGCAGCCCAGTGCCATGTGTGTGCCCTGTTTGCAGCCGTGTGCCATGCGTGTGCCATGCGTGTGCCATGCGTGTGCCATGCGTGTGCCATGCGTGTGCCATGCGTGTGCCCTGTTTGCAGCCCAGTGCTGTGTGTGTGCCCTGTTTGCAGCCCAGTGCTGTGTGTGTGTGCCCTGTTTGCCACCCTGTGCCATGTGTGCCATGTGTGTGCCCTGTTTGCAGCCCAGTGCTGTGTGTGCCATGCGTGTGCCCTGTCTGCAGCCCAGTGCCCTGTGTGTGCCCTGTTTGCAGCCCAGTGCCATGTGTGCCATGTGTGTGCCCTGTCTGCAGCCCAGTGCCATGTGTGCCATGTGTGTGCCCTGTTTGCAGGCCAAGCTCCCCGAGCTGCAGCCGTTCCCATCCCCGGACGGGGACACGGTGACCCAGCACGAGGAGCTGGTGTGGATGCCCGGAGTCAACGACTGTGACCTGCTGATGTACCTGAGGGCAGCCAGGTGAGTTGTGCCCCTCCCTGCTCTGGGCTGGGCTGGGTGCCTGCAGCCCCTCCTTCTCTCTGAGATGTTTGTGGGTGCCGGGGTATCAGCCGACACCTTGGGTTGAGCTGAGAAATCTCAGATTTGGGCCAGCAGAGCACCCCCTGTGACAGTGTTCTGAGGGTTCTTGCATTGGAGAGGAGACGAGGATCTGACTCCATGTTTCAGAAGGCTGATTTATTATTTTATGATATATATTACATTAAAACTATACTAAAAGAATAGAAGAAAAGGCTTCATCAGAAGGGTAGCTAAGAATAGGATAGGAAAGAATGATAACAAAAGCTTCTGTCTCAGACAGAGAGTCCAAGCCAGCTCTGCTATGATTGGCCATTAATTAGAAACAACCACATGAGACCAATCCCAGATGCACCTGTTGCATTCCACAGCAGCAGATAACCATTGTTTGCATTCTGTTCCTGAGGCCTCTCAGCTTCTCAGGAGGAAAAATCTGAAGGAAAGGGTTTTCCATAAACGATGTGTGTGACACCCCCGTGCTCTGTGGCTCTGGGGGTGCAGTGCAAGGGCAGCAGGGTGGGCTGGGGTGGGTACAAGGAGCAGCTGCTGTGGGTGCAGCACAGCATCCCTGCAGGGAGTCAATCCCCTGCGAGCTCCAGTTTGCACCTCAGCAAACCCCTGGTGGGCTTCACAGGAATTCAGAGTCTCTGGAAATTGCTTGTAGCTTGCAGGGATTCAGAGGCTGGGGAATGTGCAGTTTCAGTCAGTTTTCTGACATTAAAACCAAGATGACAGCACAAAGTTTGCTGTCTGCTGAGGCTGTTCTGGCTGCAGGTTTCAGCTTCTGTAATCCTGCTCAGGTTCTGCTGCTTTGGCAGTGCAGACTTGTGGCTGATGAAAGCAAATGAGATTGGATTGTAATGCTGGATTTGCTCTGTGTGCTGGGGTGACTCAGCTTTGCAGCTCTGTGCTGCCTTATTTGATGCACAGTGTGGCAAGGCCCTGAAATCCAGGATTTGGGGTGTGA